AGCTCATATAATGAAAATGTGACACGTTTTCGTTTGGATGAGAGCTCCAAAAACCACATTCAATTATGCAGTTTTCAATATGGGGCATTCAAAATTCACTTTTTTTTGTCATTGTCTTTTTGATGATTATGGATGTGGAGTGCACATCTGACAAATAAAGGTGTAGAGTCCCAGCTCAGCTTTAACACCCTGTGTATTATCCCATCTAAACCATTGTGCGGATGAGTAAACATACTGATACATACAATGAAGCATTTACAATAAACTTTATACTGATTGGCCACAGACTCTTGTTTGGTTTCTGTTATCCATAATAAGTTACTTATGAAACATCAGTTGATTTTTTCTGCCTTACCATTGTTTGTGAACCACAATCATTATTATTGTAACAAATGTCATTACAAGCTGCTGCCTATTGGGCTATATTACTGACAATAAAAGTGATATGGTGTCTACCACTGCCTTTGGCAAATGAAGAGGGTTTCTGTCTTCAGCTGCTACAGTGTATTCAATATCGTGATCCTTCCATTCAGTAGAAATCTCTCAAAACTATTTGTTTTTACATGTCAAAAGCCCCATAACAACAATCTCAAATACTGCTGCACTGTAAATGTATAATTTACTTAACAGACGATTATCAGTATAACTTAAAAATAAAATTGCATTACTTGCTTCCTTTGTACAACACTTCCTCCTTGTGGCAAGACGTACGCAAAGTGGTTTGAATCATAATCAATCTTTATTACAGACTCAAGGTCCAAAGAAAAAAAGACAATAGGACAACCCACAGCATCTACCACACACAATAAAATACAACAATACCAATGTCTCCACAGCTTTGACTGAAACCGTGTAGTACTAACCCTTATATTTGATAGACCCACAATAATCTCATTTTTTGAAGCATTTAGCCGGCAGATAAATCTATACATAAGATTTCGTAACAGTGCTTTAAAAGTGATTACTCTTGCACTCACAAACATTTCACTTGCACTATGCCATCTAGGTCTCTTTAATAAAATTCTCATTGCATCATTATAAGCTACTTGCAGCTTCTGTAAACTAGATGTTCTATAGCTGAACCACAGATGAGCAGTATAAAGTGTTGTACAATATGCTTCACCTCATCTGAACAGAAACTAAACTTATGTAAAAGTATATTCGCCTGCATATACATCATACAGCGTTGCCTTTCAATATCCTCATCGTCTGTCATGCGTTCAGTGATGAAATGTCCAAGGTATTTTACTTTAGCACACACAGTGAGACTCCTATTAGACAACTTGAAAACTGGAAATTGTATACTTTTATCCTGATGTTTTGTTTAAGAGCATCATCTTTATCATCATCGTTATGTACTTTTTTCATATTCACGTGGGTTCCACAAAAAACAGCAAGAATAGAAACGTGCACGTTGACAGCCTTAGTTGCACTCTAGAAATAATAATAATTTACATTTATTATTATTATATATATATATATATATAACATATTATTTACATATATTACATATATTAAAATCGCACAATTATTATTGTTATTATTATTATTAATGTTATTATTATCTGGAGAGCAATTATGGCTTTCAGGGATTCATATAACTTGCGACAGTCAACATTTCCATTCTTGCAGGGTTTTTATTTTTATTCATTTATTTTGGAATATTACAAATTCTAATAATAATAATAATAATAATTGTAATATACTATTTTACTATTGTAATATACAAGTGGTTTCCACAAAGACAGCATGAATGGAAAAGTGAATAGTCATAAAAGTCATAAGTAATATGAAACCTTGAACGCCTTCTCTAAAGATCAAGAAATACAACAACAAATGCTACTACTACTACTAAAGCAATAGTACATTTCAATTTCAGTGTAAAATATCCAAGTGGCTTCCACAAAAAACATAAATAAATAAATAAAACTGTTAACTGTACTGAAACATTAAAAGTCTAAATAAAAATGATAATCATACTATATACAACAACAATAAAATGTACTATTGCAATATTAAATGGTTCCAAAAAAACTGCATATGCTGGATGACCTTTTTTATTGTACGGTCTAACTGTGAATAAATCTTTCTTTCTGCCGTTAAGAATAGACTTTATACAGACGACACGAAGGGTTTTCACAATTAGCCACCTGTAATTGTGTCCTGCCCCTTTAAATTTCGCCGACCAATCAGGAAAGTGGGCACATCCTTTTCCGTCTCAAGCCACACACTAAACACACAGGCGCTGTATGCTCATCCCAGGACAACAAAACACCCAGACAGAAAATAAAGCAAATTGCTGCAGGTATTCATATTTTAAATAAACTCTTATATTCACCTCATTCCTGTGACGGTGTGTCTTTTTCTCCATTCTTTACAGTCGTCCATCCAGTGTTTCTGGTTTAGCTCTGTACACTTTCCAGGCCTGTACTTGACACCATCGTGCACACTTAAAACATTTGTGCTATCAGAAAATATAGACCAGCATCTACATCTAAATATCATTATAATTATGTGCCTTTTAAACCTTTTAGCTAAACACGTGTGTTTGGAAACTATAGCCAATTACAGATAGGCATATATGACATGGTTATACTAAGTTGAAATCTGTTATGTTGTGTGTATTTAATAGTGCACCATGGCTCAGGACGGGGTGATACTGCAGTTCAACTTTCCCACATTCGGGGACTCCATGCTTCAAAAGATGGATGTTCTTCGTCGAGACAGACGTTTCTGTGATGTTGTGGTCCACATCAATGACTTGGAAGTGCCTGGACACAAAGTGGTCTTTGCCGCTGGCTCCCCTTTCCTTAGAGACCAGTTTGTCCTTCAGGACTCACATGAAGTACAGATATCTACACAGCAGGATGCAGAAGTTGGACAGAAGCTTCTTCTGTCCTGCTACACTGGGACACTGGAGTTTCCAGAGCTGGAATTAGTACACTATTTAACAGTTGCTAGTTTCCTCCAGATGGGTCACATTGTAGAGCAGTGCACCGAAGCTCTGAATAAATTCATAAAACCACATGAGGTCAAAGACGAGCGTGCATCATCCCGACAGCCATCGGACTTCAACGCACAGCGTGGCCAACCAGCTGTGGAGACGGTATGTGATGAAGAGGATGAGGTGGACAATGATGGCGAAGATGACATTGATGATGATGATGTTGTGATCATACAGCCCAAGTCTCCGCCTGTGTTTAGAAACTCTCAGAGCAACAGCAGAGGAGAGGAAAGTCCCATTAGCATCGTTAAGGTAGAGTCAATAGATGAGCGAATGCCTGATAACTTCCAGCGTCGCTCAAGTCGCTCGCCAACACTGCGCTCACCAGAGCCACAGCACTCCCTGATAAACTCCACAGTGGAAACCCGACCTGCAGAAATCGCCATCAACCCAGCAGCTGAATATTCGCTGTCCCCACCTGGACCCAGTGGCTCCGGGAAAGGGAATCTTTGGGGATGCTCAAGGAATGCCGATAAGGGTATGCAGTGGTACCACCAGTGCCCTAAATGTGCTCGCGTGTTCCGTCAGCTGGAGAACTACGCCAACCATCTGAAGATGCACAAGCTGTTTATGTGCCTCCTGTGTGGAAAAACATTTACCCAGAAAGGAAACCTACACCGGCACATGCGTGTCCACGCTGGCATCAAACCCTTCCAGTGTAAGATATGTGGAAAGACTTTTACTCAGAAGTGTTCGCTGCTAGACCACCTGAACCTTCACAGTGGGGACAAACCACACCGATGTAATTACTGCGACATGGTGTTTGCACATAAACCAGTTCTCCGTAAACACCTGAAGCAGATCCATGGAAAAAACAGTTTTGATAATGCCAATGAAGGCAGTTTGATTGAAGGACTATAAATTCATATTAACGTCTAAATAAATTATATTAATATACATGATGTAGACACAATTTGTCTTGAAGTCACAATTCTGTATAAAAGTGGTTCTCAACCAGGAGGTCAGGGTGCACTAGGGGGCCCCAGTAAAGGCCCGTTCACTGCAAGGACGATAATTATAAAAATAATGATAAAAGATATAGTTTAAAAAATCATTCTCAATGTAAAGAAATAAGTCCACACCTCTACCATAACAATAACAGCACATTGGAACAATATTGTCGGAATCACTTTTTTTTTTTTTTTTTACAATTAAAAACATTGACAGCCAATCAGAATCCAATCAGTTTTAAAGAGCCATGTAAAGCAGTCGATGACAGAACTGCAGCACGTGTTTATAATAAACATTACATTATTGTACACTGATGTGGACACATATAGTTATCGGTCTTGGTGTGAATGGGCTTTAGGTGTCAAAATATTTTTAATGTAGTTGTATTAAGTTTATCTTAATTAAAATTTTACAAAACACAAAAATAATAATTTACAACATGAAACTAACTCATTACGTTTTTAAGTTTATTTTTAAAGACCAGAGGTACATAATTTATAGATACATAAATTCTTGACAAGAGTGGATTGGAGTTAAAAAAGGTTGAGAACCACTGCTGTAAATTAATACACTAAATTACAAGAACTAAATGAAGTGTCCGCTGATTGGTAGATAAATGTTCAGTCAAAGTCAGGTTTAATGTCATTTTCTTTTTTTTCATATTGCAGTTCAAGGGAGATGTATTAAGTTGATTTTGAATGCTGCTGTGGCATCATTTGGCTGTCATATCTTTTGTAAAGATTAAAATATATTGTTAAAGTATATCTGATCAGACCATATTTCAGTTTTGAATGCTAATGTATAACTTCCAGCTGTATTTGAACACTATTGCGCAACTCTTGGTCTGTAATAAATGTTTCCATGTTTCCATCTGTGTAAACATGCCAGAATTTGGAGAAAATTGCTGACTCACTAATAAATAATTGCAGATACTGCATGAAATGTGCACTTCTTTCTGTTAATGTTCATTATGCTATGAAAAAATAAAAGATCACATCAAATCAACATGCTAATACATTAAGGATTTCAACATTCAGATCGATTCCAACTTTGTTTATTTCTTTGCTTTTATGACACACAACTATGACAGAGCTGTATCATGGCGGCAAAGCATTACCGTGGACACATAGCATGTCGACCTCCGTCCACTGGAAGATTGACACCTGTTATAAATGTTGCTGCATCAGATGCCAGGAAGGCGATAGCATGAGCTACTTCCTCTACTTCACCTGGTCTGCCAAGAGCATGAGTCACCTTGCACTTCTCAAGGAACTGGAGCAAAGCACAAAACACATGGCGTGTTATTTAGAAGCATGCATTAGAGTCAAATTAGATAAAGCATTTGGTCTTAACTCATCACCTGAGCATACTGGTCCTCATCAAGTCCTGCACGCTTGTGAACCTCTGTTATAATGACTCCTGGGCTGTTAAGACAAAGCATTTGTATTACCTCAGTGTAACAATTCTATGGCCCGTAAAATGTAAAACAGCAGAATGAAACTTACCAAACTGAGTTGACACGTACTTGCTTTGATGCCAACTCTACAATTAAGATGAGATGAGAAAACACTTGTTTGTAGAATAGTAATACCCAAGCCCTTTGCATCAACTAGTAGAGGAGACCGGGGCTAGTTGTCACACTTTTTACTTGGGTGTATTTTTCAGGGCAAGTTTATTATTGAAAGTCAATTTCTGTAAATGGACATAAAATTAGCTAAAAAATCTATTCATCATTTCAGCCATTAATGCTCTAAGAGAATGCTGTCACACTTTATATAAACAGCCTAGAAACAGTTCAAAACAAATGAAACGGCAAAAAAGTAAAAGGAAACATGCCAAACTTTTGACTTAAGACAAATAGCTCGTAATAGTCTCCTGTAAATATTATTCTAGATATCATAGAGATATTATAGAGATACCTTACCAAGAGCAACACAGCGTGTGAACTGGTCGATGGCTGATTTGGACATGCAGTAGGCAAGTACACCAGGAAACTATAATGGACAGAAAATGTTTAAGACGATCAATCAGGGCCTACAAGAATAAAACAATGAGCAATTATTTTATATTTATATATTTCATGGTTCATTTGGTACTGATGTATAAACTCACTGATCGTTGCCCATTCACACTGGACACATTCACAATTGAGCCTTTCGTGTTGATGAGATGAGGCACACAGAGATGAGTGAGATGATATACTGATCTGAAAGGGAAGAAAACATGTCAAATGTTGTTTACCTGTCCTTATAAAGTCAAATACCCACATCTTTCAACTATTATCTATTGCACCCAGCGGGGTGCAAGGGCGTGCTATAGGATCCATGAAAAAGTTTAGGGGAAAAAAATAATGATAAGGAAATTAAAATTAGATCAAAATAATAAATGAGTAGATAATTAATACATTTAACAGTTCAGTACTACAATAAGTAGGAAAAATATAATAATGTAACTTTTTAAAAATATTATTATATGAACCGTATATATATATATAATATTTCATATTTATAGATAATTATCAAGAAACTACATAAATGTTTACATTTTAAGTTGTGGGATGGGAGTACCTCATAGCAGGATGATCATATGTGGGGGTCTGCAGCATCTAAATGATTGAAAACCCCTGATTTATTGAATCCAGTGCACATTCCCGAAGTTAAATAATATTTTACCTGACATTGACAGACATGACCTTGTCATACTGGGCCATGTCTGTTGTCTCTATACTGCCCATGGCGAGGATTCCTGCACTGTTGATGAGGACATCCAGCTTCCCAAAGTGAGCGATGACCTCTTCCACTGTCCTCTTCACAGTGTCCTCATCTGTTAAGTCTCCTGGCACTAATAAGGGCTAAACACGTTGGACAGGAGCCATAGGGAGATGAGCATTTATATGTGAATCATTAAAGCCTATTAGCATCATTGAGACGGTATTTAACAGTCTGAAGAGATTCCAGTGAGTTTTACTTTAACTGCCCCACAAGCTTCGCACTCTTCGGCGACTTTGGTGAGGTTGTCCACATCGCGTCCATTAAGCGCCAGCTGTGCGCCCAGCCTGGAGAACAGCACCGCTGCGCCCGCTCCTATCCCTGAACTCGCGCCGGTGATCAGCGCCACTTTGCCCTTTAAAGAGCCGACCTAAAACGCCAAATCATCATGTTTAAAATCAAAGTTTAGCGTGAAATTCAAACGCAAACAGTATATCGATGCGATTGAGGTTTATGTGCACTCAGGCATTTTGAAATTCTGGGAGTGTAAAAGCGGGGCTCAACCACCACAATTCACTATTATAGATCAGTGGGCTCAACCTACTTTGAACGCATCTGGAGTTGCCATTTCGAGTCATAGGATATTCACAGCTCTCGAGTGACCCGGCTTTTATTTTTCCTTTCGCTCACGTGCAACAGAACCCGTTAGTTACGTCACTGTGTATGTACAATAAGAGCAATAAGGCAACTTACAAAACATCACAAGGGTTCAGTCCGTTACTTTAGCTCTAAATTAAGTCTGTAAAATATGAATCGCATTGTACAGTTTTCTCGTGCCAGGGTATATCTGTATTTTTATTATCAGACCTATTGTTGCGGATTTCATTAAAAGTGACTTTGATAGTGTTTATCTAAATATCCGGGTCACTAGCGTCACAACGATTTCAAAATTGTAGTCCTAATTTTTGCCTTTCAAAATCATAGTTCATACAAAGACAATGACAAATTATATAGAAACCACTGGTAACACTTTACAATAAGGTTCATTAGTTAACTACATTAGTTAACATGAACTAATAATGAACTGCACTTATACAGCGTTTGTTAATCTTTGATAATGTTAATTTCAACATTTACTAATACATTATTAAAATCTTGTTAACATTAGTTAATGCACTGTGAACTAACATGAACATCTGTATTTTTATTAACTAACGTTAGCGTAGATTAGTAAATACAGTAACAAATGTATTGCTCATGGTTAGTTCATGTTAGTTAATATATTAACTAATGTTTAACTAATGAACCTTATTGTAAAGTGTTACCAAACCACTTAGGAAAACAAGGAGAAATTCTATCAATTCAGTGAAAATATTCAAGTACAATGGCTTATTTTTTTATTAAAATACCATACATTTAAAACCCAATGTAAAAGATTATAGGAAAAACAGAGGCAAGTCAGTGTGCACAAATTTATGAAACAGCATGAAACTGAAAAAAAGTCAAAATAAATACATAAATAAAACACACTAGCAAAAGATCATAAACAAAAAAAAACATACTTTCCAAAAACAGTGTACTTCATGTCCAGGTGAGGCTGTTTTGCATATGTGAAGTAGAACTGTGATGCATTTGTGTCTGGTCCATTATTGGCCATGGCCACCACACCACATTGTGCTACATAAGACAGACATTAAAAGGGAGATTAAGTTAGATCAGACTAAAAAGATGTTTAAATTGCATTGTAAGTCAGTCTGGTCCAGACATGATTAACCACAGTGCCGGATACTGTGGATGTTTGCTCAGACTAGATGATTATTGAGAGGTCCCCCCCACACACACAAACCACTTAAACATTAAATTACTTTAATAGCAATACATACTTTCAGATGGTCACTGAATTCATCTTCAAACTTTCTTCCCCAAATACTGGTCCCTCCTTTGCCTGTACCTGCGGGAGAAACAATTTAAATAATTCAACCAAATAAACCTTGACCGAAAATGGTAAAAAAAACCAAAAACTTCATTCACTCATTTTACAAGCTTAAAAACTAAAGCTGAGACTTGGGTTAGAGGTAAGAAAAGAAATCCATTATCAGTTACCTGCTGGGTCTCCAGTCTGGACCATAAAGCCCTTTATGTTTCAATGAAAAACACATCCATTGTAAAACCCACTAGCGCACAGTGCAATACAATTCTGAGGGGGAAAAAAGAGAATTAACATATAGAAAAAAATGATATCACCTATTCAAGATAGGTGTCTGTGTGTTGGAAACAGGTGTCTTCACAGCTTTTCGGGGCCTTCTCCCAAAACAACTCTATTTTGATATCACCAAGGTCTGTGTGCAGTGTGACAGCCTGCGAGATAAGTGAGATAATGAGTTCAGCTCATTAATAAAGTAGAATTACATAATCATTGAAATAATTATTAATATAAGATCAATAATTACCTATTTAGAATGCAAATAATTATTTCATACTGCTCAAAGACTAATACAGAATAGCAAATGTTTTTCTAACTGTTATTTGGCCAGAGTAGTCCACCACAAATACTAACATAAAACAGATAAAACGTTAAACTAATGTACTCTATACAATACAGTATATAACCCAAACTAAAAAGGTAAAAAAATGTGTTCTCGCAAAGGTCAGCATTCATAGGGAATTAAAGAGCAATCTTACCATCTTCTAAAACATACTACAGTTCAGTGTTTCACTGAATAATGTCAGACGCAACTGAATGACGATAAAACATTGGTTCCCATTTAGCTTTTAAAAATGGCCTTTTCTCAATCTGTGCATAAATCAGAGCAGTTTTAACAACAGTAACGATAATTATAATAATGCCTAGTAAATATTTTAAGTAACCCGTTACTACTGTAGTGTTTACAACAGCATATAAAGCGGACAAACTAAAATCCAGTTATTCTTTATAAAAATAACGTATTCATTATAAAAATATTCGACAATTACTAAACTACTTCCAGTGGTTTTGATTTATTCACTCTGTATGGCTTGATACATTTTGTAGCATATACTTAATTTCTATTTTACATTTACTTTGCAAAACAAACAAACAAAAAAGGAAACAATAGTACAATAATACAAATAATCAAGTCGTCAACCATAAATATATCAAATGGTTACAAACATGTGAACACTGGAAACATTGTAATATTAGTTAAAAAATAACACTGACATTAAAAAAGTCTGACAAGCTTTAGATGTACAAAGTTGAATGGCACTTACCTGAGTAACTTCTGAAATTCTATTAGCTTAGTTTCCAATGTGTGTGTATATATATATATATATATATATATATATATATATATATATATATATATATATATATATATATATATACATACATACAAACAAGAAACAAACACACACTCTCTTTACCCACTCTCTACAAAGTTGAATGGCACTTACCTGAGTAACTTCTGAAATTCTATTAGCTTAGTTTCCAATGTGTGTGTATATATATATATATATATATATATATATATATATACATACATACATACAAGGACGAATCAAACAAACAAGCTTTCTTCTAAAAATCCTTCACTGTTTCATACATGCAAGCTATGTTCAATAACCGATCAACAGTAACAAGTTTGTTATCAACAAATTGAATATGGCTATTACAATGGTGAGATAAAATAGCTGTTAATCCTACACAAAGCAAACAAGTAACATGAAGTATTAACCTGCATCACACTCTCAAAGTTATAATTTAACCAATGTCAAAACTGCATTGCACACACACATAACACTTTACTAAATGTCTGATTGCCTTCTTAGTGGTGCACTGTCACGAGAACAACATGACATGAGTGTAACTGGAACAGAAAACATTTAGTGCAAAGTCGAGGGTACTGGTCTACTTCCCTGTGAATGTTTACATGTCTGTCAACTGAATACAATGGATAATCTACCTTTACAGAGGGTGAACTGTTCATTAGAAATTATTCATTGATAATTCATTAAGGCATTTCAAAGTGAGCAGACAGGTGAAAACAAGGTGCTGCATTTGTAAGGTGTAATGTAAACAAGGCTTTTTCTGACTTCTTTTGAAAGTAATAATGATAATACAGTAATAATACTAATATGCATTTATACAAAATAAATACATGTAGATAGGGATACAGACAGCACTATCTATATTTTGTAAAAGTACTTAGCCTTCGTTTTTGCATCAACTAAATAAATACTGCAAACATGCACACATCAAAAATGATTTGTGCAATCATAAATACTCAGAAAACACGCATTATTATACTGCCGATAAAGACAAGGATTTTAAGATGACTGTAGACTGTAAAAGTGAATGAATATTGAATTATGCATCTTTCTAAATCTTTAAAAAGGAAAATAATTCATGCAACAGATGACTTGCATGATCACTATGTTAAAAAGACTGTACAGCATAATATTGTGCTGGGTAACATTTAGGGATTATATAAACAAACGTCATTTATTCACATATTAATGAGGAGCAATTTGAACAGCTCTGCCCAACAATTTCAAATAAACAAGTGGTATTTTAGCAGTAAACTGTAAAAACGGTAAACCCTAATTGGGTTGAATTTGAAGTCTTCAACCATACAGATACATGGGTTTAAGAAGAGGCAATAGTATAGAATAGGAGAGTGATTTCACAGACACTTACACAGTAACACTGGTATAAAATGTAGTCCTAATGTTTATCATAAAATACAATAACTAAATAGTGTTGTGTATATTAAGGCAAAAATGAACAGCACCTTAATCCTGATGTAAAATTTGATCTGCTCACTCTTCAGTGTCTATCAACAGAAATGCCATGGCTGTCTGTTATAATAAAACACGACATGCCATAATGTGAAATACTTTTGTCTTTCAGGAAACATTTGAATGAACCCTGAAATATTTAACAAACATGTATCATTTTCTATTATCTGGATTTAACTCACGCCGTTTAAAATCTTCACATAGGCAAGTGCTCTCAGGTTCATGCATCTGCTTCAAGAAGCCTCTTTGTCAGTTCTCAACAGCTGCTCTTTGACCTCTGAAGGTAAAGTATTGAAAATATTGTCCTCTACAATTAGAGCGCTCCTCTTCAGCAATCTGCACTCCCCAAGTTCTACAGGAAGGCCTTCCAGCCTGTTTCCCCTCAGCTCCAGCTGTGTCAGACTGGTGAGCTCCCCAAACCGTGATGGTAGGGACTGTAGGCAGTTGTTTCCGAGGTTCAGTGTTTGCAATTTCTTACACTGAAACAACTCCGGGGGGAGTGCCTCAATCTATGAGGAACAATAAAAGCAGAGAGTGGACAGAGATCAGAAAACCAAGTTGAGTGAAAGTACAATCAACATTACTCACATTAATTTAACGGGATTTACAAAGAATGTACTACCTGCATCTCATCATAAGAGCAGTAGCACTTTTTCTTGAACCAGTTGTATTATTTATTATCTATTGCTAACTAGTAAAATAATAAAAATAAATTGATTATCATGCATGAAAGAGTAAACAACAACAAAATCTGCATCAGTGGCAATTACAACTAAAACAACAGCTATAAAAAAATAATTATTGCTAATTTAAATTAAATTAGAAACTAAGCTAAAATATTTTCATGACTCCAAAATAAAAATATGTCCACAAATTAATATGATTTTTTGTTTTGATACATGGTATGGTGTAATTAAAACGGCATTATATATGAAAATACTAAATACAATTTGAACGCTGAGAAATTCAACACGGTTAAACATTGATGATACCAGGTAGAGAACGAACATTGGCAGCCCTAAATATAAAATAATCAAATAGTAATAATAATAACAGCCCCAAAGTACCAAAACTAGACAATTAAAAAAAATAAAAATAAATAAAATAATCAAACAAAAAATTTAAAAGCAAAACAGAAATAAAAAATACAATTAAAACTCAAAACTACATTCATCCTGAACCTGACTTACCCTATTGGCAGTTACAGCAAGGGACTGAAGGTTCTGTAGAGTTCCTATTTCTGATGGGATGTCAGTCAGATTGTTATGGCTCAGATCAAGGAACCTCAGCTTCCGGCAGAAGAAGAGCTGATGTGGTATCTTCTCAATCTTATTGCGGTTCAAATAGAGGCGCTCCAGGTTGACCAAATTACCTAACTGAATAGGTATGTATGCAATCTGATTATACCACAACTTTAGACAAACAAGTCGATGAAGATGCTGAAAACTAATGATCTCCTCAATGGTTTTCAGGTTGTTGTCCTTAAGATCGATCTCCTGCAAATTGTGCAGGCTGAAGATGGAATGAGGAATGCGCTCCAGATCACAGCGGACAAGCTCCAGCTCGGATAGGTTCACCATCTTCTTTAAGCTGTTGAGCACCATCAACTTGGTGCCTTCGTTGTTGATGGACAACTTCTGGAGGTGCATTCCAACATCCGTGACCACCTGAGGCAGCTTTGTAAGGTTACTTTTCAGTCTCAAAACCTTCAGTCGCTTCAGCTCTCGCAAACCGTCGATGACGATGTAGCGATTGTTGTCAGCACTAAGGTTCCCAGTAAGGTGCAACTCGCTTAAGTTCTTCAAGCTGTAGATCCACAGAGGAATCTCCTTTATGTCAGTGAACTTGATGTGCAATGATTTCAGGTGCTCTCTCAGAAACGCAAGAGCTGGAGCTTCTATTTTGGCTGGTGTGTGGTACAGCCACATCTCTCTGAGGTTAGTAAGCTGGGCAATGATTGGTGGGATGGTGACATCAGGGATGAGCTCAAGCTTCAGGACTTCCAACTCCACCAAGTCAAAGACCGTGTCTGGAATCCCACTGAGCATGAACAGGTGGAGCTCCAGCTTCTCTAGGGAGTTTTTGGTGATCCTCTGCCGAAGCTTTTCCAAAGTCCATTCGTTGTTGAGGTTCAGCTGGCGAAGTTTGTTCTCGCTCACCTCCGAAAGGAACACCGCAAACCGCTTGGAATACAGGGGGTCGTACTGGTCAATCATATGCAGCATGAAGGCGAAGTCGTTTTTCACATCTGGGATGTCGCTGTAGCTGCTCTCCTCTCGGATGGACTCAAACGAGTACTTCTTGAGAGAGCGTCGTAGCATCCAGCTGAGGGTGTACACACAGATCATCCCGTACACGATAACTAGACTAATGTAGAAGCAGGCTAAGATCTTGAAGAGAGTGGCCAAGGGATGGGCACAGTTGTACATGCGATAACCAGTGAGACTCTCGATGTCCACGTTGCAGTCGACGTTGAACTGAATATTGTGGACATAGTAGCCGGTGTAGCAGATAATAAGAATAAACTTAACAACTTTGATGATAGTCTGTCGGATGTAGAGTCGGTAAACTATATCGCCTTCTTCAACGTGAGTCCGAAACTTCTTCACCTTCTCAAACAATGCCTTCGCTTGTTCACCTTCCTTTTTGTCCAGGACACCAGTCTCAGAGTGGTCCACGATTCCTTGCTCTATACGAGATCTGGTCGTCGACAGCATGGGAACACTCGCCTCAACATCTTCACTCACATACGAAGCCTTCTTATCGAAGGAGCCGTTCATTTTCACCAGAGCTTTGGGGTCGCTCTCCTCCACGACGGTTTCAGACAGAGCTCTTGTGGTCCAAGGCGAGTCAAAACATTTCAGTAGGATAGACACAAAATGTTCCAGTTTAGAGCTTGTCCAAGGGAACTTGAACCAGAAGTTGCTGCAAGCCAGAAAGATGAGCGTATGCAGCAGCACCAAATATGGGAAATACTTAGCGAACCAGTGAAGCTTGTTTTCATAGCACACAGCATCGACATAGTTGTACTGGTGGCGATCGAGATCGTACTGGATTCCTTGAGGCTCAAGGGTCAAGGGCACAGAAAATGTGGCATTGAAATACTTTCTACAGGTCTTGTTAACTACCCACTTGCAGGGCAGGCAGATCATCTTGTCCTGCGTGACCTGAAGCGTGCCCCCGAATACTGCGATCATCAGCATTACCACCGATAAATAGTCTGTGAACACGTCCCACCATGGCTTTAAGATGCGATACGTAGGTTGCGTATCCACAAAGTAGCGCAGCTCAGTTATGGGAATCATGATTTACCTGAAATTAAATTATTGGCATGGTCATTAAACATCTATGCATTTAAATCTGGCCTTGAATGTCAATGCAGATATTTAAAACTGTCCCACTACTGCAAACTAACTCTATATCATCTCCCAACATAAACATCTGAAACATATTTTACCAAAGTCAAGGACGGCTGTCTTCTCCAGCTGTAGCTGCTACACAAGACGACTCCGCCAAAAGAACACTCTGGCGTTCTTGTCATCTATTAATAGCCATTTCCGATAATAACACTGAAGAATTGTCTCCTCTGGCTATGGAGAGTCCTTGACCCCAGAGTTCAAATCCTGTTTGTCTAAGGCAGGGCAGTGTGTCTGAAGCAGTGTCTCCTAAGTTGGATCTTACCTAATACTCCACATGTCCAATCAGGAACTGGCACTCATCACAGTCCTTTTTGTCAGGATGGGACGCAGATATCCTGTCGTGATAAAACAGCATACAACACAATGTCTAATATGTGCACTCTGCGTATTCTGGGAGCCATTTCTAAGCAGTTTCAATCTTAGTTTCTCCCTGAGGGAAAAGGAACAGGTTGAACACTTATTTCCTTTCTATTCACTTTAAATAGTGTGGTTAAATTAGTCACATAACTGACTTGTGCTTATAAGACTAGCTAGCACATCCTAATAACATTATAGTAGACTATATATTTTAAAGAAGATGATGAGATGATGATGAGACTACTAAGAGACCAGACAACTGGATTAAACCAGTTCATTTCTGGATCCTCTCAGCTTAATATAGCGAGTCTCCAACAGATTACCGTCAATATATTATTTATGCACGGAAACAATAATAAACAAACAGGCACCGTACTGTATAATCATAAGGAGACTCGTCGCTCAGCACCTGAATGACTGCATGTGTTATTATTAGTTTGCTGCTTGTCTTTGTATAAAGGGCAGAGTGTCTTTGTTTTACTCGTCGAGAGAAACTGTTCGGCGTTTGACAGGATCATGGACTCACCCAGCTGTGTGCTGCCACCTCTGCTCCATGTGTTTGCTGCCGGACCGGACCGGACCGGTGAGCTCGGATTGCCAGAGAGGTAAGTGGGCGAACCAAGACAAACAGCGCAAATTGCAATCTCAGTTGCAGGGATCAAATGTATTTTTCATAATCAGTTTATTACACTAGAGGGCACTGCGAACTGAGTTTTGGATTTTGCCCTCAGCTTCATTGTACGTCTCATTACCGCCACTCACTGGACTGGAGCGGGAATCACAACCTGAATGCTCAGAACTGTTTTGCTGTTTTTCTAAGGACTTTAATGGTTAATGTATCATATGTATTATTATTTAGGTGTGTATGGCTCTGAAATAACAGTTACAAATAACTATGTTACACATATCTGTCTTTTGTATGAAAGTGGATAAAAACGTTTCTCGTTTTATGTTTCCTTACATGAATAATTTCAGAATGTTTATTTGGCAGATTCCTATTATATTGTTATTTTGTAGTATGGTTAATTTCCATGATAAAGAATCTGACATTATTTTAATATTTATTAGTATGAAATGAGCATGACGTATGAAATATTAGTTCAAAATGCAACATATGCCTTCAAAACCAATTCTAAAACGGAATTAAGCTTACTATTATGTTCACTTCAGAAAATCTTATCCAATAATAAAAAAAGACTATGAGGACATCTCATATTATTGTTTATTATTATTATTATTACTTTAATTTTCCTTCTAATGAATGAATGAATAATTTTTTTAATTAATAAATTATTTATTTATTTATTAGCTGTTCAGGAATCATACAGTACATATGCATCTCAGTGCAGTAAAGCTGCATATGGACAGGAAGGTGGTCTGTTTGGGATTGTGTGTGTGAAAAAGACATAATCATTGTCTAAACTAATTATTGCAATCAGCTAATATTTTATTCACAAGCTTTAACAAATATTCAAATGGTAACATAAATTTTGTCATTTGCCTAATCAACTAATCAACAACAGGCTATAGTATGATCATATTTAATAAATTGTAAACTAAATGGTTAAAAAAACAAATTAGCATCAAGAAGGACTATGACAGCTCTTAAACTTCCAGCTTATGCTTTTATGCAAGCAATTATTTATAATTTTTTTGTTACATTCACTGATCTCTCTCTCTCTCTCTCTGTATTTATAATAGATAATAGGTTGCATTCCATATGTATATATTGCACTATAACTTTGGCAATAACAGGCCAGACCTGCCACATACCTGTGTGTTCTTTATGAACAGTTTTTCTGTGGGTAGAGGCTCCCTTTCACACTGATCCAGTGTCTTCTTTCCAACCTCAATTCAATACATCACAAGTGACACCACAATGTGTTCTCAGATCAGCAGTAAACAGAGCATCTCACCAAAACCTTCATCAAAAGTAAGTGCCAGGCTATGTGTCACCGTTTACATTTCCCACAGCGGGAGGCTTAAACAAGGCCCAGTTCATTCAGAAAGACTGCAGGTTATGTCAACAAAGCTGCAAACCCTGCTTGGCTCATCTGCTGAATGTTCTGCTAGTGTGCTTACGTGCACTCAAAGTTTGATTTCAGAGTAAAGGTGCGATCACACCTATCGCTGTTCTGTCAGTTTACGCGGGTAAAATCCAGTCATTTCAAAAGGAATCCATGCGATTAAGAATTTTTCTTGGTTTGAAAGTTACTGCTTTGCTTCATACATCACTGCTACCATAGATATCTATACATATCTGGCTACTACACTGTTGCCAATAGATAATGGATAGTTTTTTTTTTGTCAGCCAAATTTAGCTATTGTGACCGTACCTTAAAGCAATAATTTGTCTTTTTAAAATGGCATGTAAATGGTTTAGCCTCACTGAAATTGCACCAGGCAATGAACATAAAAGCTGACAACAAAGCTGGATAATTTTATGAGCTATTTACTATGATGCTTATATATATATATATATATATATATATATTGTTTTGTCCTTTTTGTAGCTTGACATTTTTTTCAGCATCCCTATGTTTATGTGCATCCCTTTAAAGGGCAGTCACTTTAAGCATGTTAAATTTCTTTGCGTTAGTGTTGCCAACTAATTTTCAGGGGAAGTTGCTAAATGAAGGTCAATTTGTTGCTAAAAGTTGCTAAATCACATTGTGATGTGATTGCGTAGTCACAACGCAAAATTGTCACTACATCAAATCTCAGCAAAAAATATATTTTAAGTATGTTAATTTAGATTTGTTTGAAAAATCATATAAATGCATGATATAAAAAAATAATTTAAATACACCATTGAATTATTGAAAACTCACATTTTTGAACGATTACAATTTAAGTTTTTGTTTTTATTAGCTAGTAAACTAGTAAAACTACACATTCTGAACAATTATACTTTTAAGCAGTGTATTAGTAGTCAGTATGCTACATTCTAAGAAAAGTCTGTAAAAATAGGGCACAATCTACAATGTTAATATGAAGGAATTTTCCTTATTGATATTTCACAGGTTGTTTTTTTTTACGTGCATTTTAAATTACGCATTGTATTTTGTGTTTTTGGGTTACAATGGATAATGGATAATGTCCTGGGATTGTGAATTACTATACCTTTTCCTTTTACATATTTTTCTTACAGTGTACTAACTGATCAACAAACGCAGGTACAAGCTACTAACATTGTGTATCATGAATGAACAATTATTCAATTAAATTGAATAGTTGCAAATAGCAATTAGAACTTAATTCATGTGATGTGTGTACTTCTAGGCATATTTGGTTTCCTCTTTTTGTGTAATTAAGATGGAAAACATGTGCTTTTTATCCCAAGTTGCTAAAAGTTGACAAATAAATTTTTAAAATAGCTAAATTTGTTGCTAGGTGCTTTTGGAAGGAAAAGTTGCTAGGGTAGTCTGAAAAGTTGCTAAATTTAGCAACAAAAGTGCTAAGTTGGCAACACTGCTTTGGACACTGCAACTGTTGTGATATGAGATCATGCTGCAGCGTCTGAATTAAACATATAACAAATAATAATAAGTCCAAAATGTACAAAAAAAGCGACTTTAAAAAAAAGAAGAAGTTTGAAATGCTGCAGCTTTAAAGTTTGTGTTCTTCTAATTCAGCTAAGATGTCACCAGTGTTGGGTAAGTTACTCTAAAAAAGTAATTAATTAATAGTTAATAATTACATCTTCAACAGTTTAATTAGATTACTGTACAAATTACTCTCTCCAAAAAGTATTTCATTACTTATTACTAATTACTTTCTAAATCTTATATCAACCATGACAAGTTAATGATACAAGGATAGACATGAAACAGTTATTTTAATTCTTTCAAGTAACTACATAAATTATTCTGGTCACACTTTAGATTAGGGTCCAATTCTCACTATTAACTAACTATTAACTATGACTTTTGCCGCAAAACATACTCCTAATTACTGCTTAATTATACTTAGTAAAGTAGTTGTTAAGTTTAAGAATTGGGTAGGATTAAGGATTTAGAATAAGGTCTTGCAGAATAAGACATTAATATGTGCTTTTTAAGTAATAATAAACAGACAATATCCCAGTAATATTCATGATAAAAAGTTAATAGTGAGAATTGGACACTAAAGTGTTACCAATATTCTTATTAACTCACCATAGTATTTAAAGTGAGAAGGGTACATAAAAAGCATACACTTTAAGGTTAGACTTAACATTTTGATGTTAAATCCACTATTATATTGTGTTTAAATGTTCTACAGTCTATACACAGTATTAAGTTAAATTACATAAGAAGTAACTGTAATTAAATTACAGAAAAAATAAGAGTAATCCCTAACTTTACGGTTTCAAGGGGAAAGTTATTAAATTACAGTAACTAATTACTTAGTAACACCCAACCCTGGATGTCACGCTGTGATGTATCAATCTTATATTATTCACACGTCTTCAAGTGATACAAATTTTGCAGGTCAGAGTTTACCAAACTGGAACTTTGGAATGCAGCAAAATGTGTATGAATGGACATGAATGGAATGAAAAATGTAGTGTGAGCGGCCCTTTTTTCCTGTATAGACTGAGCATGGTCATCAAAGATGTAGGAATGGAGTCAAATAAGTAAAATAATGAACACACACACTCACACGTTTAAGAGCCATTCAACCCTGACAACCCGCCCAGGCTTTTTTTTTTTTTGATTGACGTTCAAGTTCCCAGTTGGGTTTTGATCTGACAGCTGCAGGCTTGAAGCTTTCAGTGACCTCAGTGGTCCCCCACACCAGGTGGTCTTTTCATTCCAGTGAATTCCTTGCAGCAATTTATCACCAAAAAGTGAGAGAGAATAGTTTAAAAAAACGGTTTAATAGTTGGGAGTTCTTCACAAACAACATCCAGCCAATTAAACTGTTCTGTGAATTCTTGCAAACAAATATATCTCCTCCTGTTGTTTTTGTCATTTCAGCTCCAAAGCTGTGTTTGTCTCAGTGCTGAAGCCCCTTTTCTGTGATACTGTGATTGTCATTTATGCTAAACACCTCTCTCTCTCTTCTCAAGGCAGTCTCATAATAGAGCTTGACTCTGAATGGAGCCCTTATTCCCAAGAACGAAAGACACAAGAAAGTAAAAAAAAAGGGCATCAGACTTGAGAAAAATGTGGTTTAGTCAATTATGTAAAGTGAATTGTGCTTCAAACATTAAGGAAGTAGGCTCATGGATGCTAAGTGGAGAAGAGGGAATAAAGTACGCTTTTAGTTCACCAGACTGAAAGAGCCATTCAGAGGAATGCTGTCCGCTACTTGGATTTGTTCACAGAACAATAGCCATTCAAGCATTCAGAGCTGCTAAATTGAAATGTTTTCTCGTAGAGTATGACTACACTGTGCGGTCTGAGCAGGATCATTACTTAGATTACATCATGGTCTAAAAAAACTAGGGATGCACCGATACCGATACTGGTCTCCTGTACTCATAGGCCTACTTGTTAAAATGCCCCGATATCAAAAGCCGATACCACACAGCATGTGATAAGTGCCATATTCAAACAAAGAAACACCAACAACAGAACAACAGACAGCAGAAAGG